CAGACAAAGCACGTTGCTACTGGTATTGCTGCTATGCTCCTCAATCAGGCTGTTGAGGATGAGTGGAAGAAAAAGGTTAAACTAATTCAAGTGGAGTGGCGTTGGTCTTTTCCTGCATGCTTTATTTTGCTTTCTGTGTTATGCTTCTTTCCCTTTGTTCAGAATGTCCTGGTGGTCACTTGTGGACTCATTTTGCAAAGGTTCATTTTAGGGAGATAAGCTGACGCGTGCGGAAGCTGAAGCTTTAGTACGCAAAGCATTGGAGCTCACTATTTACCACGATTGCTGCGCTGATAACGACTTTGAAGTCGGAATTGTTGACGCAGAAGAAGGAGTTACCCTTGGTAAACAGGTAGGTGTTCTCACACATAGCCGAAGTTGCGCTCCAAGATATTATATGAACTTCAATCATTTAGGAAACCATCATTGGAGATTGGAGCATTGCCGAGACAAACTGTCAGTATGAATGAGGAACCTCGTCTTATTTATTAACTGTTCTCCGATATTTTCATCTAAACGGTTCTATGTAGCCTTTTAAACGTGATGTGTAATAAAAGTTTTAAAAAAATTAGTAAGTTTGACGTAATTGCTTTCGCTAGTGGCTGTCGAGATGAAGTTGCTCATGAGTCGAACTGTTTCTTCTACACATGATGATGAGGAATTCCATGTGTCATGTGTAGGAGTGCGAGGAATATCCGACAGTGTGCAGAAACTAGGAAATGGTAAAAACAGTAATGTTTGCTCGGTATTTTGCCATCAGCTTTGTTGTTTGCTCTTAGTGAACCTCTCGTATATAAAATGGTAACTCCCAAGGGAGCATGAGGCTATCGTTAGATTTCGGAAGTGGGCATACATAGTCTTCTGTTCTCCTCTCATACTTGGAAGTGACAATGTGAATAATGTCTAGAGACAGATGTCGTGCGCTACCACATGCGGAGAATTTCAAGCGGTGGGTGCCCAAACAAGGGATAAATTACTCTCAAAAAATCGCTGGATGGTCGGGTGGAACGGTACTGACCAGTCATTGAGTCAATGGTAAATTACGAGGTGTCTCGACCAGGGTCAACCGTGCGTTGTTTCGATCCCAAAAATTTTGTGACCCTTTTTTAAAGGGACCTCTATGCGACCCCCACAACCATAGCCTCAGGAGGCTCCCACAAGACCCCTACCCCTTTCACGATCGCCACTTTGCCATCACCATCCATCACGATCAAGGCAAATCCTCTAATTAGTTCGACCACGTCATGATTTTGCTTACTTTTTTTTCAAATTTGAACCTAAATTATCAGAGAACACGCGAAAATGCCACACTTTCGCAACCACAATTTATCCGCTTATATCCCTGCATCATTGATCACCTTAATTTTCAGTGAGCCGTTTTTTCATCGTAAACTCCTCCTTTAAGCATCCGATGATGAAATTTAGCTAGTTCATTACGTTGTCAGTCCGAGCGTCGTGGCAACTCCTGCAGCAAAACTGGGTATCGTGCATGGCCTTGTGTTGGAGACGCTCACTTACTCGAATCCCAGGAGCTTCAAAAGGCGGCATGTTCTAGTTTACTACCGGATCATATGCATCACATTGAGTGTTAGCAGTGCTCGAAAGAACTGTGCGTGATACGAACTTGCATAGAGAAGTGCTCGAAGCATCTTCTGCTGAGATCCCTTTTGGGATGCTCCACTCTTTCTACTTCACTCAGAATCACACCGGTATTTTGAATGCAATTTGGCCCAGATCTAATATTACTATCGAATAAAGCAAGACGTAAAAGTCGAGTTTTAAAAGCCTAGTAGCAATACCCCCAAGAAATGGAAGGTTTGATTAATGTTTACGGCATACAATTCATGGTTTGATTCTCAGCCCAGGTGCATGGTAAGAGACGTCTCTTGCGCGCGCTAACTATTAAACCAATTTTACCCTGAAAGTTTTGAAAACATGATCAGTGGGAGCACGCTAGGGGAATGACTGTGTGACTGTCACCGCATGGACATGATCTGTCGTGGTCGCCCGGAAGTGAAGGGCCTCAAAAGCTATTGGTAAATTTCTAACGCTATCACAAGATACGGGGGCATCCTCTAAGGCTAAGCGGAGGAGAGGGCTAGAGTTCCGGGAAAAGGGGAATTGCTTATGCACCTTGGAGCTCTCCTCTCACGCCTGAAGCTTATTGTCAGTCTCATTTTTATCAACAAAAATTGCTCCACCGCAGTACCCCCTCAACCGCGTAGCGCCTAAGCTCTCTGTTCGAGAGCATATTTGTTCATTGAAAGGATACACAACATTGTTTCTGCTTTGGATAGTGGATGTCTTCAGGTCATCTCAAATAGATCTAACCGGGAAGCTCGTGCTGCCTCTTAAACACATTTTCCATTTAGAATTAATAGGAGTCGGTCTGGGACTCGGAATGTCACAACTCCATTCGGAACAGAATCCAGGACACATTTTAGCGGTAGTACGTTTAAAAATTATTAGGTGTTTCAGAAAGTTCTGTCGTTTTCTGACACTCCACTTTTGGATGCTTTATTTCCCTTGAAATCTAGGAAAGCTGCAATTGATGTTGATATCATTTTGAAGAGCTTTTCCAGCTCTATCCAATGCTTAGCTCAACTTTGTCCTAAACATTTTCTTATAGCTTTTTCAAAGCTTTGAATGCGGTATACTCGATGAGCAAGTTGGCATGACTTTCTTTTTCTAGCTTTAAATAGACCTGAAAGTAGCGGGAACAGTTCAAGATATTAACGATGCACTTGGCCTAGATTCGCAATAAATGTGCTCAGAAGCAGTAGTTCAAAAAGTTATTGTAACGAAAGCGAGAGCCTTGGTATGATGAGAGTGGTGGTCGGATATCGGACGTTGCCACCGATTAGCCAAAAGTTCTGATTGAGGCACTGCGTAGGACCATTGAGGAGGTTCTGCCCAACCTGGGCGTATATGGTTTGTGGAGCCAAGCTATACGGAAGAGTAGCTGGAAAGTCCAAAAAATTTGATAGGGGCGTGCCGCGACAAATCACCAATTGGAAGGTCGTTCCTCAATTTCTAGCTTGTTTTATGTGATGTAAGCGACTCGCCTTTCTACTGATTTGCGACGTACAATGAAGAAAGGATTATTTTCTACAGCCCACGAAGCTTTGCTGAATAACTCGACGGCGATCAAGCTCTACAAACTTTGCAAAACTTAAACTGTGCTGAAGGAGGGTTATGGCAACTTTCATCAGGTCAGCGGCTGGCCAAGTTCCCCAGTATCAGGTGGAACTGTTACAGTGGAGAACTCTTAACATTATGTCAAAATTCACCAAAACTTCAAAATACGGGTTCAGCATTTCTCATTATAAAGGGACGGACACATCTCTGACAGTTGTCCTACACGCATATCGCACAACCAACCCTGCACAAGTTGGACCAGCTAGGCTAAGGGGGTGCTGCAGATATCCTACTCAGTATACCTCTGGCTATCAACTATCACTTTTTTGGGGGCCTCGATAGTTCCCTTGAAGAGAAATGCTTCAAAACACAACCCGATGCTAAAACGACCTTCCCTCAGTTCACCGCCTCCAGAGCTCCAGCATTCTGAACAAAGGTAACCACTGAAACGTCTTCTTATAGCGGAAGGTTAGCGCATTCGAACGATTTTATTCAACCGGAAAGGTTTGGTTTAAGCCGAGATACATGCATTTGAAATTCGGGGTCGAAAAACGACAGAACTTTCTGAAACGCCTAATACCTTCGGAAGACAGCTTACGTGCTCGAATTGAGATCTAACAGCATAGAGAAGCAGTATAGTCATTTCAAGCATATCAATTGGACCATTCTCCTTGCAACGAGAGGGGTCGCATTCTTTTTGATTGTGGAAGGAGGGGTCTTGTGAAAATATGTGGAAAGAAGCAGATTTTTGGAACGCTGGAGAATTTGTACGAGTTCGGAAACTTCCTGAAATTTTGCTGCCTCACTGATATGGATGCCCCCTCCAGCTTGCTGCCTGGTACCAGACCTGTCTCGAAGAAAAGTACTAACTCATAAGTTGACGGATCCCGGCAAACTACTATACACACCAAATCGCAACCCATGATTTGGTCTATACAGTGACTTGCCGACATTCTGAGTGGAACTGTGGCGTTTGGGATTCGTGGCGCATACTAGAAAGGATCCATCAGTGCTGGATGCATCACCCTTTTTGGGTTTGTGTTCGACTGAGGCAACATGGTGCTAACCTGACACCGATGTATCGTAGAAACGGAGGCCTCTCACGATCAGTGTTGTGACTATGTTCAAAAATTACTGAAAAAAATCTAGTAATCAGCACTTGTTTTGCAATCTGAATTAGTATTGATGTTTGCGTTGCGAAAGCTCGAAACCGCCGTCACAATCGGCGACGGCGGTCTGACAGGAGTGCTGAGTAATGGGCAAACTGGTCTCGTGGAGGCTTAGAACCTGCATCTCTTGCTTACCGGGCAACTGTGCTAATACAAATTTGAGCTAGGGTGAAATGTGCCCGGGCAGTGGGATTGTGTTTAGGACAATTGCCCGGTAAGCAAGAGATAGGGGTTCAGCCAGTTCAAAGTCGAACCGAGGTTTTGCCCATGACTGAGCATTCTTGTTAAAAAAAAGTTCTGAAAGTGCCTCATCACTTCATTTTAAGAACATTTACTATCGACAACTATGTTTTGAAAAATGTTGCATAAAATGAACATTTATGACTGAATAACGTCAAACAAGGGATCCCTAAGTAGGAGATTGAGCGATTAGAACGCTAAAACAATGGTTCTCGTGCCTTTTTCTCTATAAGGACTGAGCTGCAAACAATTCTTGTTGCTGAAGCTACTTGGAAGAAAAGAACAGTGACCGATAGAAGTGAAAAGTGAATTTCAACGAGATACGCTAATCGATTTGTACATGAGGGAATTAACTCTAATACTCAGAACCTGGAATCGGCTCCACACTGCGGCGAAATAGCCATGACACTATTCGTGTTTTCAATACTAGAATCGTCATTTAAATTTACGTTCAACGGGCATATAAATTATATTATAGAATCATCATATGGAGTGCATGAATACTATTCAGAAATCTAATGACTAAATCTTAAGAAAGCAGTAAAAGCGGGAATAATGTAATACAGGGGACGAATGTGCATTACCGGTATCAAGGTCAGCATTTGTAAGATGCCCTTTAGAGCTCTTGCTCGCCAGGTAAGCTCCACAGCTGGAAAAGGAAGAAGACGAACAAGGCAAATGTGACCAAAGAAAAAGCTCCAATGGCAATAAGGCGGTACGTGACGAAGTCAAAACGACGACTTCCTGTATTGACGTCGCCTGCTCCTACAAGCATTTTACGGTATAGCGCTCGTTCTTCGGCACGACGACGGCGACGAATCCCGGTCAATCTCTCGATTTCACACTGTACCACCTATAACAACGACCATAACTCAATATCTTCAATTGGCACCACAAATTCGAGCATTAAAAATTATCAGGTAGAGATTATAGCAGCATAACACCACCTATGGGTGATAATTATAATTTGAGTCTTTAAAAGGTTCTGTCGTTTTTTGGCTCTTCACTTGTGAATATTTTGCAGTATCTCCGAGCGATCTGTTGCCATTCAACCTTTCCGAGAAGCTCCTCTTGCGTTAAGTGAGGCATGGGCTCAGCTTTGTTTTAAATCATTTTGTTTCACTGTTTCAAAGTCCACACAAAAAGCGAGTCTGCGTGAGTTTCTTTTTCCAACAAATATGCTCTGCAAAAGCTGTAAAAAAGTTCTCGAAGCGAAAGCGAGAGAATTGAAGACGATGTACGGGCAGGTCGGATATCGCACGGACGTAAGCAAACCAGCCCTTTTGGCGCTTCGGCTGGGACCGTATGCTGAATGTTGGGGAGGGGATGGAGTCCCCGACGGTGGACGGACCACTTCAACTCGGTCCTTAGAACCGCCACAATTTGGTGCTTACCTCAGAACTAAGCCTTAAAGAGAGGACGGGTCCGTCCCCTCTCCAAGGCTTAGTCCTGGGGTGAGCAAACCAGCCCTGTAGAGAATTGGAGATTCTAACGGTTTTCATTTCAGTCCGAAATACTAAGTTTGAGCCGAATACATGCTTTTCAATTTCAAGTTGAAAAAACGACTGAACTTTTAAAGACCTAGTAAATACTGGCAAATCCTCAAGTCTATTTAAAAGTATGGATATTTAAATATTTGATAGCATACTACTCAAAGTAATCCTTTTCGTGCTTTTTACTTACAAGAAGCTTGTGAGCATAGTGAACATTTCTCTTTGAAGAACCCCATAAATAAGATCATGGAGAGGCTGTATCATTCACAAACTGAACTACATGAGCGAGGATAAAGCGGGTTTAGTGGCGCAGAAAACGAACATGGGTCGTGAAATTGAGAAAAAAATCAGAAGAGGACTTTCATATGCAGGAATTTGAAAAGAAAAAAAAACCTGATACAGTAGCGATTGGAGAGAAGAGGGTAGGCAAAACAGCCAGCAAAAAAAGAGAACTGGAAATGCAAAAAGTTGGTAAAAGAAGAACATTGGTTAATTTCCGACGACACGACACTATCAATCTTTGAACACCACGATGATGATTCTACTTTCAAAACTCATGCTCGCTCTGAGGTAAGCAGGATAGTTCATAATTCAACTGCGACCAAATATCTACACAAGATCGTTGACAATACTCGAAACTTTAGCTGCGGCCAAATATTCAAAACCTGGTTCCAATTCTATTTTCGAAACGTTAACAAGCCTTCCCAATGGTCGTTGGCCGTAAAGACCATAGCGATCGTACTGCATTAAATGCCTAGCGATCGCCCGATCCGACCGAGCACGTCAGACGCCGAAACGTGGCTAATGCTGTGCACCCGTCACTATCGGATGAGTGACTGTGAAAGCGACATCAAACTTGTTTGTTTTAAGAACAGACTGCCCCTCAGCTCATTACCCTCCAGCTCTAGTAAGCTACCACTTTCTATCTATTTCATAAATTTTCAAATCTTAAGCCCAAATTCGATTAGTAAAAATCCACAAATGTAATAATAAACAGTATTTGGTGCGGTGAAGGATTTTTGTTAAAAATTATTAGGTGTTGAATTGTAATAAAATGAATTGTAATAAAACGATAACTGAGCCATTGTTTCGCATTTGAATGATACCTGAGAAGAAGAAATAAAAAAATCTCAAAAGGAGTAAAGGTTACTGTGTCATGAGGATCGATTTCTTGAGCCCTTTTCAGGCAGTCCATCGCTTCCTCCGTGTCATTACGTGCAGAAAGCGCAGCTGCTCGTCGGAACAACGCTTTTGTGTTCGCGGAATGTAAACGAAGCGACTCTTCAGTGCATTTCAGGACCTCGTCCCAATCCTCCAGCTGAAAAAATGAATTCATTTTAGCGAATTGGGCCTATTGTCCGACAGGGGGGGGGGACAATCGCTGCTAATAAAAGAAACTGTGGCAAAACAGGTAAGGTCTGCCAAAATTTTTGTGCAGCTACCAAACTAATACATGTCAATTGTCGTCAAGTCCGTTAATCCTTCCAAAAATGGCAGATAACAAAACGAAACATTTCAAAAACTGTGACCCAGTCTCCTTGTGTAGCGGAAGCTTCATCCCTAAATTAGTTTTTCTAAGTCTTTTTGGCCTTTTTTTACTATTGTCCGGGTTCGTTTGCACTGTTGGCTGCCTTCAAACTTAGGCATAGTGTTAGCTTTTGGTAGCTCTTTCGTTACAGCAGCCCGAACCACTATGGTAGTATGAACCCGTCCTTCTCCAAGAAACCTACCTGAGTTATTTTTGTTTCATTAATTGCCTAAGGTTCAGCATAGGTGACACGTTTAGACTTTTTGCCATGTTAACCACTTCAAGAAGTTTGTAACAGCATGTTCCCCCATCGGACACTGACCCGCGAATTGTTTTACACTTACAAAATCAACGAATATTTCCCTACACCGGGTTTCTGAAAATTATCACAAGAAAGTCAAAAAAGAAGGCGATTACTGCACTGGACCGCAAACACTCATCAGAAAGAGTGCACGACCTTGGAAGTCCGAAAAATTCATATGAAAAAATCAAACTAACTTTAGCATAACAAACAGCCAGATTAGAATGAAGAGCAGAGAACAGCTTCGATAGTGCTTCACTGTTTTTGGGAACTTCAATAATACCGGATGCTCTGTAAAAGATTAAAATTTACTGTACTGAGACGTCAACAACGGTACCGCTTTTCAGCTGTATTGTACTCTTTGCTCTACAGTGACCAACTTAGAACTTCTGCGAACTTGAAATTCCCCTTGTAAGCATAGAGGGAGAATATCATAACCAGTCCGGTTCGTCTGGAGACACATATGAAACGTACTGCTTTGTTCCTTTGACCCAATCCCCTTTATGTTTATTTTTGGCCCTTCAGAAACCCTTACAATTTCAAAATCGAGCACAAATGTTTAACGAAGAAGCTGATCAATTGATTGCGTACTTGCACAATCAAACCTCTTTACCGTAAGTCACGTCTTATTTTTTTCATTTCTAATTTCACTAATTTCACAGAATAGACAATATGTAAAATTCTGTTTCTCTTCCAAAAAAGAGATATGAACTAAACTAATCTGAAACTGCTATTCCAGAAATAGAAAATGCTGACCTCTTATAGACAAAAATTGCTTTCTCATACTCCCTCCGGTTGAAATAGAAATTGCCTCGATCTTTCAACATGAGGACGAAGTCGGATAGCTCCTCTTCTTTCATGTTCTCGTAATCCGGTGAAGTGCCGATCTCGAGCAGTTCAATCTGAACTAGGAAATCATTCAAGTACAATTCTCTTTACCTTCCATAGTTTGTGCTATTAGAGGCCTTCTAATTGAACAAACCCGGTATTCTTGATCTTGATTCTGGGGAATTATGTCATCCAAACCGCACTCGCCATAAGCCAAGCGGGATTTTGCACGAATTTCAGCGATCTCCTCGACATTCATGAGTTTTGTTGCTAATTCCCATGCTGAAAAAAAGAAAAAAAATATTGTGGGAAACGGAACTGGTGACGCTTTAGAGTACTCCGCAAACCTGCGGTTTCCTTGTTGAGATGAAAACCCTTCGGTCTCCTCTCATATCAATATACAACCCACACCACGGGCCGTATCCTATGCTCCTGGGGAACGAAGAAGTCGTCTGATTTTTTTTTGTTTTCTACGACACAGTTCCCTTACTATCCGCACTTATTTGCTTTACCACACAAATATACATTAGAAATATGCAGTGGCGATTTTTGTTGGAAAGACAAAAAATTGAAAGATTTTTTTTTGCTCCCCTAGCCTAAGGGAAGAAAGCATACGACCCCATGAACACGGGATATGATGGGGAAAACGAACCATCGATCACCATGCTGAAGCCAAGAATGAAAGTTAATCGATCGTGAGAGTCAACTCCACGTAATGTATCCACCACCTGAAAATTGGAATACATAAACTAGTGGGAAAGAAAATTAAACAATCGAAAAGAAAAAAGCTGGATGAGAAACATAACAGAACGTTTTTTTTTCTGAAATTATTCTCTGAACTTCCATTGCTTTCTGCATTACTTATATTAGAAAAGGAATAGCGTTTCAAAATGGGCTTCTTTTCGTATGCTGAGTAACAGCCCAGTTCTACACCAGACTCATTGCACCTTTCACTGCCCTTTCACAAATGAACATTAACCCTTTCCGGACCGCCTGACACACATGGTGTGTCAGGAACTTCAAGAGCTGATTTTTCCAAGAGTTTGGTTTTTCGATAAAATATTTTATGTTGTTACATACCTATGTAACAGACTCATGCCATATGTATGAAAAAACCTAGACTTTAGGTTTAATCTAGGTTCTAAAATAACCAAAGAGTAAATGGACTTCCACTTTGGGCTCAAAGAAAACAGTTGTAGTTCGCTTGAAAACACTTAAAAACGAAGAATTTGTGAAATATCCTGCTCGTCGTATCTGATTCTTATGGATCCAATCGTTTTGGGCACGTTCTACTCCCTTTTTCTCCATACCAACTTATTTTGAACAATTTTCGTCCCTTCCTCCCTTTTTATGGCCCTTTCCCTTTTTTTGCAAAACAGTTTTCTGTCAAATTAATCTTATATATTCTTCGAGACATGACAAAGACATAAACGAGACAAAATAATGGCTTTAGTGGGAATACAGATTAAATATATGATATTTATGCTTGCCGCGCAGCATGCGGCCGTGAGCGCAAAAAGTGCGCGGTCCGGAAAGGGTTAAGAAAACACAAAAATGAATAAAAAATATCACCTGAAAATCTTAGTAGCTCACCTTAATAGTGACCCACTGCCCGTCTGTGGGACGTTCGCTTCCATGACCATCCTTCACCACTCGCTTCATGAGCTGACCACTTCCCAGTATGTCTTCCCATTCAGAACCTCTTTCCCTGACCACTGCTTCCATCCTACACGACTCCTCCAAGGCATCCGAAGAAGGGCCCTTGACTTGTGATGCTAAGGTCTGCAAAAAAGAAGCGTTTTTTTTACTCCCATTCAAAAAATAACAGTGACCAGTGACTTGCCGAAATGGCCAAACATTGAGAGTAAGAGTCCAGAGATATGTTTTAGCCAATGGAAAACACTCTCATCTGGCACATCCGTTTATAAACTTTTTTCCAGGCAATGACACCACCGCAGAGCATGTGATGATTAATCAATCATACCCGGGGTCAAAGGAAATGAAATGAATTGCAGAAAGCATTGCCGTTGTTTATGAAATTCATAAAAACTCTCATGGAAAGCTAAAACCACTGGTAAAGAAGCACATCTGTATTGGTTTTGTATAAGAATGATGAATAGGAAGTGATCATTATAGCGGCCACGGGAACAGTGTGCAATGTATTTAATAGGCGCTGATAACAGTAATAATGAAGGAACGTTAAACTTTTGTCGGAATGATTTGAAAAGAAAAGAAAACACGTAAAATTAAGGTGAACCAAAATAACAAAAGTAAAAGTACTAAGGCTGGTGTCAGAGTCCGCGATCCGTCGCAGGTTTCGCTGATTTGATTTTCGCGATTTGCGCGATTCACGCGACGGGTCACGGAAATCACAAGTGCCCGATCAATACTGCAAGGTGTTCTCCAATCCTGCCGCCACTTCTGCTTGATAGTGATGGCTGAATGACGACTGCTCATGATTCCACTTGTTTCATATTCAGTGTTTCAAATGTTCACACACTTGCAATTTTTGCGATCCGTCGCAGGTTTCGCGCAAATCGCGAAAATCAGCGAAACCTGCGACGGATCGCGGACTCTGACACCAGCCCAACAGAGGAACAAAATGCTATAAAAACCATGAAGAACACGGCTAAAATGCTGAAACGCACATTTGCTCTGGCTACATGGTTGACGTCCGAATCTGAAAGTGCCCCTCGTTCCTCATCTATGCTGCCATCGAGGGACTGTTCACCGGATGACACAGCGCGAGGTCCCGGAGAAAGAACCTAAAGTATTTGAGAGATGAAAGCAACGGATATTGATTATTTATGAGTCACAGCTCTTAGTGGAATAATTACGCTGAATCACGTAAAGTGATGACGCATCGTTTACGAGGAATTTTGCCCTTGTAATAATTTCAACTAATGTAACCAAAACAATCGTTGTGCCCAGAGCAATGAATGAGAGATGCGGCGCATGAGTTGCTACAGTTGCTGTCGCCTATAGAAGCTCCAGTTTTTGCAAGAGGAAGAACCACCTGATGCGCAACCCGTCTCCCTTCCAATCTTACACCCACGCTGCAGCTTCCCTCCTTGAGATTGGAATACCTAAAGCGATATTCACAGGACATCCCCCTGGGTAGATGAGACTCCAACCCCACTACCATTTTTCACTTTACTCTGCTGGAGAACTAAGGTAATATAAATAGCGAAAAAAATAATAGCATACCTCAACGAGGTCGTCATGCTCCACAATGTCCATTTCCTGAAGACAGTGGGGATCGGACATGTTTAGTACCTATGAACACCAACACATAAAAATTCAATTGACGCATGTTGAAATAATGTCGTATGAAAAGCAGATCGGATAATGCCTCAATTTCAGTGACTGATGGCAGGGGATCGTCAAAAAAAAAACTATCACGGAAACAAAGTGAAATTGCGAAGTTTACAATACCAAAGATTACGTGAATGGTACAAATAAACCTTGGAAGCGCAACAGTATTGAGTTTTTGCAATGCTACACACATGGCCGAAGAAAATACGACATTACAGCCAATCAGCCGCTATTTCATGAGTAGCACCGAAAAGCCAGAAAATTCCCAACCCATCAAAGTTGGTAATCCTTTTTGATCACACAAAGCCAGTGAAACGTCTACATAGCATTTCATAATTATAAGGTCACCCTCGAGTTTTGCATTGCCGGCACAACTGGGCATTTCTAGCACTACCTATAATTCCTCACCATGGAAAAACCCTGCATCACATTTTTTGCAAGAGCAGCTTTTCTTCTAGTTTCTTTATAACTTTCTGCTTTTTGCACCGTTTCATAATTACAAAACCATCCTGAGAAAATGAATATTACATTAAGAGAAACTACAAATCTGACTGTAAGCTAAATATTTGTTGTAAACACATTCACGAACTCAATTCTGGGCTGTTTCGTATTGGTATGTTGAAGAAAAGGCCGGATTTGTATGCATTTTGTGATGCTCGGTTTGACAAGTGAGCCATTGCAGAGCAGTTCGGAAAATTCCTTGCTACATTCATAGATTTCATGAGTTCCCATGTCTCCAAGTATTCTATTATACAAACTCTGAGCACGCTTTAAATATACTATTAAAGAATGGAGAGTAATCATTCAAACGTTTCGAACAGTAATTCTTAAGAGAACTTGATTTGCTCACAATTAATATTTTCGTGTCGAAAAATAGAAACAGCTGAGTGGCGAATAGAGGCAGCGACGTTGTCACAAAAAAAAACAACAAAGATGTTTTTGAGGCTTACTGGCCGCTACGAGGAGGCACAACTATCATTGATGTTGTTAATTTTTGGATGGAAAATATAAGCTTAAACAGTTTCTGGAAGCAAAGCTTTTGCCATGACTTGTGAAAGTGGTCAGCTTTGGGGCTTGCGTTCTAGTGGAGGAAATTTAAAGATTTGGTGGTTTCTGTAATAACAATGTGCCGGAATTTCCCTGACCTGGATAATGGAACACAAGAACTACCATGAATGTCTGTAAGGTTAGCCGATCCCTTGTTCGAACCATAGACGTCATCCAAACTATGTTCTCCGACAAAAAATGCCCGCAGGCTACTCAAAGGTAAAGGCAGCGCTCCCAAGCACAGATGTTCTGGACAGATTTACCTCCAGTCTTGGTCGCACTTCGTTGGATAGCTTCTGAGACATTTTTGTCAGGGAGTGTCTTGCGAATACCAGCCATTCAGATAAAAAAAAGCTAAAACAAGCAAACTTTGAAGTGAACTGACAATTGACTGTTTTGGAACCTCGATTCCAGTATGCCAGGGAGGCTACTGGTGTTGCACCAGACAAGGAAGAACCATAGACTATCAAATTACCTATGTCTGCCATTAACCCTAACAAATTGCTCGCTCCCTCAGCGTGACCTTATAATTATGAAATGATACGAAAAGCACAAATTAATTATAAAAAAGCTAGAAAAGAAGCTGCGCTTGCCAAAATTGCGACACAAAATCGTGATGGGGAATTAGCTGGCAATACTGCAAAACTTTCACATGAGTGTTTGTTCCGGAATGCAACGTATGAGTAAGAATTACAATTATGAAACAAACTGTACATTTAATGAGCACAGCATGGATGAGTTATCTGTGCAAATAAGAAAAACTGAACAACAGAAATCGATCTGAAGAATAATCCAGATTTTGTGATGCTGATCGCATGCAATCACATGACATTTGTATGTTGTGAATTTTTCTAAAAGCCGCAATCTGGGATTTCGAACCGGCGCGGCAACATAAATGAGCGAAGAGTTTAAACACACTGAACTCTGTGATCATATGTACTACAAATAAAGAAACTCGAAGAGAAAAAAAAGAGAAAGAAACGAAAATAAAAAATAAAAAGAAACGAGTGTTTCAAAAACAGAACAACTAAAACATATGCGATTTAAGCTCTGAGTGCATCAGCTTGTGCAAGGGAAAAAGCATAGGTTCTGATGCAACAAGCACTGAGAGAATGCTCGACTACTATCAATTACTCAAAAACAAGAAACATCACGAGGTCGAGTACAGTACAGAACGGTTTTGAGAGGTTCACTAATTTCGGCCGGAAACCAATCAAAAGTTGACTCTTGAAGGCCCAACTTTCGAGTGAATAGAGACGCAAACATAAGTGCTACAACGAGAAATGGGCTCGACAGAGTAAATTTTCATGCGAATACATCAACTCGATCAGATTCCGATCGTGAAGAGACACGATATCTGTTCTCGTGACGAACACACGATTTGAACCCTTCACCCTTTTTGGAAAAGCACCTGTACCTTCGATAGACCATACAAACATCAAACTTTCATTCCCAGAGAAAGTGTAAAGGGGATGAAGCAACATTGACAACGCTGAGGGAAAAATGCAAGAGTTACAAGAAAGAGGACGTATTGGAAGTCCAGCTCAAATTCAGCTTTAACCAGTCAGACGTTAGGTTATCAATACACAGTAATCAATCTGTCGAAAGTTTAGGACATGAAAACAACAGAAAACACTTTGCTTATGATCATAGAGATTATGACAGTCGCACTCCAATCGAAATCGTGGCCACAGTTCAAATGGTGTAACTCTGACGCGATTTTACGTACCACACCACGTAGACTACGCCAAAATTCTGCTTGGTGATGATTTCAAAGTTGAGAAGGTGGCTGGTGTTGTTCATTTTTATCCATTGCTTTCCGTATTACGCTCATGATGAGGCATGGTTCTGTCCTTTCCAGTGTTTCTACTATTCCTTATTGAAACAGGTTTTCCAGGATGACTCCACACAAAGATGAGGTTAAGACTGAGTCGTTACCACTGGACATAATGAAACAAAGAGCTGGACCGCATTGCATAAGTACGACTCACAATAATTTGCCAGTTAGTCGGGTAAGTTCAATTTGTTCTAGATAATTTGTTTTCGAATGTTCGTTTACATGTTTTTGGAATTTTTTCCTCTGTTTCGGGGTTTGTTTCCACTTCATTTTCCCAATTCAGTAATTGTTAGAAGAAATGCGCCCTTGCAGTATTATTAAAGTTTTGTGAAGAGCTTTGTGATTCAGGTGACGGTCCATCCTCTCGTCTTGCTCAGCGTTGTCGATCATTTCAATCGCGTCAGCAAAACACAAAGTGTTAAGCGAGTTGTAGGCGTCCTTTTGGGTTCTATGAAAAAGGACAGAAGCTTGGATATCGGAAACAGTTTTGCAGGTAAGGAGTTGCACTGCGTAGTGTTGCTACGCTTTTTGATCTTGAGTGGTTCTTGTCATCGCATTGCGCTGTAGTCACCTCTTGAGGGGCGCCCTTCCTTTGACATGGACTTTTGTTTTCATATAGAATTACTATCTTCATATTGTAATGCCCTAACCAGAGTTTTCATTTCTTTCGGAGAGAACGTCCAATCCACACGAACTGCTTTTAGCTTATGCCGAACGTATGTCAGCACTGTTGCTGATGACGCAACACCGTATAGGGTAGGAGTGGCCGACGTCAGACTTGTGCGATTTGGGAGCGATATTTTAGCACCAATTGCCAGCGAGCGACGAGACGCTCAACCGATGCGACGCGACGGGGGGGATTAGCTTGGGGGCGAGCGGTTGCCGTGGTATCGGGTGTTCCGCGGTGGGGTGGGTGGGTATTGGTAGAATCTACCGCCCTTCGCGACTGCGAGTCTACCGTTGAGGATTTACGAACTGATGGCGCCGAATTATCGGTGGTCGGTGGTGTAAATCCCCGTCGCTCGCATCGCTCAAGCGATCCGTCGCTCCTGCAATTGGTGCAAAATCGCTGCAATCGCAAAGTCTGACTAGTCGCTCCAGTGACAAACCAGGTGAATGGGAGTGGTGCGTAGACCGGATGTGCCATGTTCTTCAAATCGTGAAGTTCCCTTATTAGGCAAACGTCACACTTTGGTCGAGCGGGCTGGGCATTTCGTTTGCAGGTTTCAAGATAGGTAGACACACTATCCTATTCAGTGCAGTTCGGATATGATCGCCTGAAGGCCAGCTGCTATACGAAGTTATTACGCCGCATCCAAACGGTATGGCTGAAGACCAACCTATGACCGCGGCCTGTCAAAGTGAGAGCTCAAGTAGCATCGCAAGCGTCGCTGCCCCAGGTTTGGGCGCTGCTACAATACCTCTTTTTAGTCATTCCATTCAAAATTTTGTGATTTTAAATGATTGTCATGATATCCAAAGTTTTTGCTTTTCGTAAATAAGCCCACTTGTGGATTTGAGGCGATTCAATTGTTTGTGTTTTTTTAAGAAAGCACTTTACCACCACCTGAAAGTTTTCTCTTTTTCATACCTCCTACACACTGTCAACGGTTCTGGTGTATGAAGGTCTTCTTATGCACTGAGTGCATTAAGCATTATTTCAGAGTTCTCTCCTCCTTTCACGCTTCATTGAACGGATTAGGGGCATGCTTTTAGCTAAGCCTTTTATCGCGTTGACTAAACATTGCAACGAGGCAGACTTTCTTTCTCGGTAGTAATGCTCCTTTGTTGGCTGATTTTGTGCGCTATAGGACTGCAATACTTTAGTCTAATGCTATACCACATCAAGAATTTTTCCAAAGTGATAGAGGAAGCTTAAATGCGAGCAAGCACACCCTTCGTTGCCGTGGGAAAGTTTTGCAGCTTCTCGAATAAATGGAGCCAGTGCACGAGAAAGTGGTACTTTATGGTTGCTGGGTTTCTATATAACACATAACACGTCCCTTTGCTGATGACGCACCTCTGCAAAGTTCATTTTAATAGGACTTGAACTTCCCTAATAAAATTTTCCTGAAATATTCCTTGATAAGCAAGGGCAAATCCATATCCGTAATCTCCGTCTTCAAAATATGGAGCCATCTCTTCAACCATAAGCTGAGAAGCAATTGTGAATGCTACAGCGTGAAGTAGCTGCGTGCTTCTCTGGGCTGAGTTCGTGAACACCTTACCGGAGATCACATTCCTCGCTATGCTAGACCTCTGCGGATCGGACAGCTCAGTGGTGGTCAACTATATCACACTTTGAGGCGACTTCACTAATTGCCAAAAACCGTCGTGCACATGGAATCCCGCGCATATCCATTCAGCGGATATAATGGAGGATTTCATTACTGTCAGAGTGTCTCCAGACTACTTCAGAATGGGGATAGTGCTATAGATGGGCGCTATAAGTAATGTGACTTGTTCCTGTGTTTCTCCTCCTCTTCTAAGTCCTGTGTGGTTCCATTATTAATTAATTGTGTCTCAGTAATTGTTTTTTAATATCAGAAATTTTCGTGTTCAGTACCATTCGATGAAGATGAAAAAGACAAAAGCACGTGGTTCCTCGACATGGACTACCTTGAGAGTATGTACAGCAATGTCCACCCACAAAGTTGCAGCCAAAGAGACAACGTCGGATGGTATCGAACTGGACAAGGTGCAATCGTCTTGCTGATTCCCGACAAGTCCTCATAACTCCATCCCTTTCGAAAATGCAAGTGCCACGGTCACAATCTTTTGAGATCTCCCATTCTTGAATACTCTAGTCTTTATCTCTTTTTTTTGTGTGTATAATGACACGCGACTAACTGAGCCAGATGAACCGTTACCCCACATCCATCCCTCTCGTGATATCGAGCGACGAAAATACTTGCGTCCTCCACCCGACAGACGCTTACATCGAATCACGAAACTCATGATAACCGTTCTCGGATTTTGGCTTCGTACTAAACTTCGTTTGCAGACCCTAATTTTAATCGCATTTTAGGAGAAAACTAGTAGTTTTCAGTTCCCTTGGGTCCAGAACGGATCCCACGCCTCTGCTTAATGGCGGTCAATTGTTTGCGGCTTCCGATATTCCTCTGCTCTGACCCATTCCCGACGTTATTCACTCGACGCGGCGCCAGCTCTACAACTCCTATTCTACCGCTAGAATCAACTAATCTCTCCCCATTAACGGCTTCAAACAACTCAGCAAAAGATAATTGCTCAAACTGAACAACGACCTGGCTGCTACAACTGCGTCCAGCTGCACTTAACGCTCGTCAGACCCTCCATGCGCGCTAAGACCACCTACGCACGGCAGCCGCCAGGCGACCGCGGACCCCAGCTCTACAAGTGGCAACGGGCCGAGACCTCATCACCACGATCCTCGACGATCTAAAACTACTAACTTGGTAAGAATTGCAAAGTGCACTTGCGCCAGGCGATAAATAAACTACTCTATTACATAAAAAATTTAAGGTAAATTAATCGATCAGGATCCCGCCGCCTCCCGCCCCCCCCTCGCCCCCCCGTCTAAAGTCTGTTCTGCATACGTTTCCGAATACACATGAGACTTGAACTATATCGAAAAATACTTTGTACGATAAACGTTCTCACGAGTTTACCCCGCAAATCCCTTTGAACAAGCGCAAATTCGTTTTCCCAACAACGTGTCTATGAAAGCTCTCATCTGTAGTTACATTTTGTCTTTTTGCACGCTACGTCCAAATCCGCATTGTCGTCAAAGGGTTAACCCCCCCCCCTGCCAACCGATATCGATCGTGTGATGAGTCATCGCCCGTTGCCCACTCTTGTGGCTGGCGGCTCCGTCGCTGGCGGCTCCGTCGCTGGCGGCTCCGTCGCTGGCGGCTCCGTCGCTGGCGGCTCCGTCGCTGGCGGCTCCGTCGCTGGCGGCTCCGTCGCTGGCGGCTCCGTCGCTGGCGGCTCCGTCGCTGGCGGCTCCGTCGCTGGCGGCTCCGTCGCTGGCGGCTCCGTCGCTGGTGTCCAGCGACGCAATCGCCGAGTCTGACCGAGGTCTAAGGGCTTTTTATTATTCATGGGCAAACTGGTAGTTCATCAACCTGCATAACAACAAAAGCTAGAAATGGCATCAATCGCATAAAACAACATTAGATCTCGGTGTTCACGGATGGCACTCCCCCATCAAAAACCTTCGAACTACTAGCGAGGAAAAAACTGAAAGCTGAAGAATTGGTGGGTGGACATCTGTAGGTAACCCTTGCCCATTATATCCTAAATCCATTGAGTTTAGTGATCTAGTGTGGGGATTTCACTTTACAGAAGACACACAGACCATACGGCCGGATACTGTTTGTGCCCACGGATGCACAGATCGCTGATAGGACTTAAGTAGGACTAAATTCGCACTGTTGATATTGAAAAGTAAGCCAGCAATATTTTTTGGGGGCTGGTTTCATGAAATATAGTCAGGATGAGGCGAACAGTGTGTATATTATCATGGGCTGGGGGTATGGTCGAGCCCATATCGCAATAGTATGCCGAACTCTGCATTCCTCTCTAGTGCGCTATTAGACCCTCTAGGGTGTTCATTTTCGAAATTATCGTGTCGCTTTGCGCCTTTAACCGCGTGATAAGTTAGAATAGGGGCAATTCTGTCACTTCATCTCTAACGAAGTGATGTGTAGCTGAGACCTATGCATTCCGACCGGACCGTCATCAGTCGGAGACTAGAATCAACGATGCAGCGAGCGCGCACCTCGCGTCCACGTCAAGCTCTGCTCCGTCGCGCCGATTCTGACCCAGACGTCCCTAACATTGTATGGGGTTATTTTTTGATTCAGAATGATTTTTTTTTCGCATATTCACAGTTATTTCTTTTGCAGGTATTTACAAGATGTTGCAGCACATCGTCTTCCGATCAATCACCCAGTCATTTATCACATTCAGGTAGAATTTGTACTTTTGCGAAGGACTTAATATGTAGCGAAGAGGGGTGCTTCGTTAAGTGAAATCGGCTGTATTTGTTCATGCCAAGGATACAGAATTATGTGCGGGTTTCCGTTTTCAGGAGGTGTTGAACCTTTTGCCGGATGTCACTCATCCTGACTATGTGACGGCTCAGAACGTGCAGACAAACGATCAGTTGATGTGTGTTTATATGGGATCATTAGTGCGATCCGTGATTGCGTTGCATAACCTGATTGATAATAAGGTTGGTAGTGGTAGTGTGAAGGTTTTTTGTTCTTCTTATGAATGAAGAACAATATTTGTGTGTTTCCAGTTGGCACTGCAAAAGGCTGAGAACGAACAAGAGGACGGGACCGACAAAAAGAAAGATGAGAAGAAGAAGGATGAGAAAAAAGAGGGCAAAGACGCAAAGAAGGACGATAAGAAAAAGAAGGAGGAGAAGAAAGATAAGACAGTATCGAAAGCGAAGAAACCATGATGAATTTCAATTTGACTGGTGATTGCATCTTGAATTTAGACTGGTCTCGTGTATTACCCCTTTTTCTCGATATATTCTCCTCAGCGAGTATTATTGAGGAGTAAGGAATTAATTGAGCGTGTTTATATCCCTTATTCTTAAATTATTCAAAAATAAACATCCATTTCGTATTGTCTCTCATTCTGACAGTCATTAAATCATTCATGACCTGAAGACACTTTCCCATTGTTCCAGCGTTGCGGAGCCCATAAATGTAAGCGCACGTGCTAATGACTAAGCTGGCGATGAAGGAAGTGAAAAAAATCGTCAGAAATTCACAAATCGTGCCCTCATGACATCTAAGAAATGTGCGATACAGTGCGTGGATTGGCTTAGTAAAATCGATGGGATCATCTCTTCACCATCGATTTTGCTGAGCCACTTTTGCGATTTCTGCCTGACTCCTCTATACTTATTTTTTTTGCACTGATCTATATCAGAGCAGTTACAGCCTTCCTAAGCGGACACACTGGAGATGGAGTCCCCGCAAGTAAGGTTTTTGTGCGGAACTTAATATAACAATGGATCAGAACATTATAGGTCACAGCTTTCTTCAAAATCCTTGCCTAATGGACGAAAAGGACGCTTTTGTCCGAAATCTCCACGATATTTTTTTTTGAGAATCGCTCAGCATTACGACAGAAATAAAAGTATTTCTGGCGGCGCACTGAAATCTAACCGAGTGAGGCGGTTCCTTTTTCAGTAAACCGTAACAAAAGAATGTTTCCACCTTGGGGAGCCTCATTAAAACAGAGGGACTGGTTGAATAAATACACCGAGAGTTTTGCTACAACATGCGCTAGTTTCTAAGGTGAGAGATCGATACAGGTTCTGAAGAGACGCATACATTATACGAAGTTATACGAGGAAAGCTTGCCATGCACTAGTGACTGGGGGAACAAAGGCTGGTAAAGAATCACATCTATTTTAAAACACTCCACAAAGACTTGTGTGCTAAAAAGTTGACTTTGTCCTCATCTGAGACTGCTTATCTTAGACTGTGTAGAATCTGCTTTTCAACATACACATCTGTTGTATTTTTAACATACAGTCAGCTTGAAGAAGAACAGCGAAATCCATCCAAGTCATCTGCTGATTAAGAGGTCTTATCGTTAGCAGCATAGAACAAACAAGTCCGATAACCTGTTTTGAAGATAGGGAAGAAGGTAGTATTCAGACGCGAATTACGTTCGACAGGGACAAACACATCTATAGCATGGTGTAATATATTGAGGAACATTTCGTATTTATCATTTACCGAATTTGTAGACTCTAAAGGAATCTTTCCGAGCGATGGACAAAGATATCCACTCAAACTAGAGAAGGCACAGCTCTTAAAATCCCTAAAGGAAGGAAAATGAGGCTCAACATAAGTACTAGTTACATAAAACGATACGCTAATGTCGCTACTACCAATCGTGTTTTACTACATACATTGCTATGGATTTCTTAACACGTTGGCGACGATGTCGGTCAATGCTGACCGACAGGCAGTCTGTCACATGGGACGATGTCGGTCAATGGTGACCGACAGCTTGAAAGTAAGCAAACTTAGATGGAACCCGCGACTTTTCTATTTCAACGTTTACTTCAGTGTCCTAACTTACTACACTTGTCTGCGAATTATGATCTTTCTAATTCCTGGGAGTTTTATTCTGAATTAGTTATCAGTGGCAGAAACGCGCTGTCAATTGAATCACAACCACAAAGTTCCCACCGTCAGCAAACTGGAAATCTCACTAAAATTGTTCATATCGACCTTTACTAATTAGATCACCGTCAGTAGAAACTCCATTTCTAGCCTCAGGTTCCCATGATGGTCGAGTAGGCTCAGTCTCTACTCATAGGCAGGACAAAAGTACCTATCCAGTCCATCAACTGCCAAATATTTCACAAACAAATTTTTTGACCTTGAAATGACTCGTTTAAATCTTATTCGATCATGAAGAACAAGATAACAGTCAAACAAAAGCTCATTCCGTCAGGTACGCAAAGTTTTTTGCGTCATTCTTGAGTGAAAGTGTCATAGTAACAAACTTTTCCTTGTTTCTAAACGTGTCTGGAGTACTCTAGTCAAAGGCATTTTGTGCATTTCGAGATTTTACAGAGCTATAAATAGTTTTGCCCTGTGTTACCGGCGCTTTGCATGCAAAAAACGTCTCGTCCCATGCGCGCGACAAGGAAAAAATCGCTCGTCGTCAACGTGTTAAATGAAAAGATTAACTTCGCACGCCACCGCGCGCATGGCATCGAAGGCTCCGCTGAAAACTGGATACTCTGCGTAGAGTTAGGTTCCACCGGTAAGAAAAAATTTATTTGTGAAATGCGTTAGCTACCTTGTCTCCTGAAGCGCGCAATGATGTACTGAGCTAATTGATGTCGTAACAACCGCCATGCTCGAATGCAGCATGGCTGTCAGTCGAATAAACTTTGCATCCAATAATGTTGAAGTTACATACGGTACGCGCCGTAAAAAACGAAAACGGCCATGCGAAAAGCCGATTTTGGCCGTTTTTCGTTTATTCGTGTCGTTATACTACTCGATTTAAATCGAGATTTCAACAATCGAAACAGCATTGAACTCAACTCGTCACTTCAGAAAGCTGACTAATTCGTTCTAGGCACTATCTTGATTCGTGCCGTTCACGTCGACTTTATCTCAATATTCTCTCTATTTTACTCTTAGTCTCTATTTATGATATCCTGCATATAAGTATAGTATAAGCCGCTCATGCGAACTGCCTGCTACGAGAGGTCTCAAAAACTGTCAACAGATTACGCCACGCACTCTACCCTGGCCACTGCACTGAATGAAATTCCAGATCTCAGGATCCCCATGACAATTTGAAATGCAGTATAACTAAATATGTAGACCCTGCACTCTAACACATCACTTCTGTGGCGTTCTAATGAACTTCAGACCAGTTTCAGCGAGATATTCAAGGATTTCGTGAGAATCTCAAATATCGCAGTAATGTTTCGTGGAAATCCAGAGCTAGCGTCGAAACCTCTTCACCTTTAGAGTCACTCCCTCAAACTCTACCTCCTGTGTAGAAACAAGATGACATGCTTGATGGCAGATTAGTGCTCATTTCGTGGTGTGGCCTTAAACAACCTTCTGCGTCTACTGGTGAGATCAAGTTTTATATTGCCTTTCAGAAGCAGTTACGAAGCAGATATGCATACTGTTCGCTTTCACAGGGAAATTATATCGAACGATACACAACCCACTTCGTGGAGACACACCTAGTTTACCTGCAAATTTGGCCACCACTTGCCTCGGTCACTGGCTTATGGGAAGCGCTCACTTGCACTGCCGATGAGACTGCCAGATGGTTGCCAGCAGAGCTATGGAATCCACCGCACAACTCTTCACATCGCGCCAACATGTTCTGAATTAAGACAAGATTCAGAGATACGCGCATTCAACCTGAACTCTATCAAAATGTAGGGCTGATTGGTGCTAGACCAAGATTTGTTATGGATGCCTCCACACTAGGATTGAATAGCAAATGGCTCGCTCAAGCAACGAGTTGGGATTGGGTGTCAATGGCCAGCCCTTTCCAGAACGAGAAGTCGGGTCGTCAAGTGCAGGAAGAGTGGCACTGTCGCCACACGAAACTGCGAGGTAATGGCGCTGAGAAAGCCTGGGCCTTGCGTGCTGTTCCACTGCTGCGCCACTTAGATCAGTCGCGCTCCGTGACCTCATGTGCCTTCTTCTACGCCTGTGACATCTCGCCTCGCTCTCGTAGCACAGCGTCTCTCGGCCGGCCTCATAAGAAAAGTTTCAGTGTTCTCCATGCTGCTTTTTGCTTCTTTTCCCACTGATGTTTCCTTATTGCACTCCTTGCCTATTTTTCAACAATAATAACACGCGCTATGTACATGATCCAGGCTAGTGGCTTTAGGCCTCAGCGTATGTTGTAATGCACTCAATCTCCCGTCCCTCGAAATTGCGGAGTGACTGAATATGCTAGTCCTCAAAAAACGAGAAACGAGTCAATTTTACTTCGAGACAATGTTTTCCAAATCTACAATGGACAACCAGTTGTGCTAAAATCTCTTCATTTTCAAATATCCGTAATATTGTTCATGAATACAGAGGTCGCCTTATTCAGCTAGACTCCATATTCACGTGAATGTGAATGGCCATATCAAAACAACTGATTTGGTTAACATCTTCGTGATCAGTATTCTAACGTAATCTTGACCTTGAACCGCATTAGGCTTAAGAAGACGACTTACTTTAGCAGACACGTTAGGCCGAAGCCCTGATAAATGTTCCACCTGTGAGCCTCGTACAGCACGAACAACTAACACGAATAACTATTCAAACACGTTTTCACAATCGTGGGCATTGGAAACGTATTCATAGTATTCGCTCGTCGATGAATATTGAATCCTGGTTCATTGTTTATAGGATAGGTGAAGTTGAGAGAGATCGTGATCGTAATGAAATTGAACTATTTCTCGCTTTCTGGCACGGTTCCGCCTAGATCGTGCTTTGCTGTTGAGGGCATTTTGACGGTTTGAGACACCGAACCGTAAGAAAAACATTGAAGTATCAAAACACAACCTAGATCGGAGTCGATTATTCACGTAAATTTGCACAGCTATGTTGCATTTATAAGCAAAATAAACAACTACTCGCAACAACTATACGTTGATCTTATTGTCTTGTTTCTTCTGCCTTCGAGGTTTGATAGTGACCATTTATTTATTTTGGATTGAGATTGTGCCTATAGGGG